GATCCAATTGTAATTTTCCAATTATGTTACAAACTACATTCCATTCTTTACAGAAAGTGTTGAAGAAAGACAAATGTGTCTCAACACATTTGCTCATTTTTTTCTTGGGTCCGCGATTGGCATTAGGGGGAGGGAGAGGAGGTGGTTCGCCGTTTCCGTTTTTGGGAGGGCCTCCCATTCCGTTTGGGGGAGGACCTCCCTTTGCATTTTTGGGAGGGCCGCCCTTTGCATTTGGGGGAGCGGCTCCCTTTGCTCCCCTTGCGTTTTGGGGAGGAGCTCCTTTTCCGTTTTGGGGATGAGCTCCTTTTCCGTTTTGGGGAGAGGCTCCCTTTCCGTTTTGGGGAGGGGCACCCTTTGCGTTAGGTGGCGGCAGCGGAGGACGGCCGCTGTTGTTTGCGTTGGGAGGAGGGAGTGGAGGAGGGCCGCCGCCATTGGGAGGGGGAAGCGGGGGAGGGCCACCGCCGTTGGTTGGGAGGTTGGGACGGGGGCCGCCGTCCTTGGGGGCGAACTTGTTGTGCATCGCCTCCAGCCGCTTCACCAGGCTCTCGAAGTCCGTCCTCCCGGACGGGTTCTTCAGCCAGCAGCTCCGCATGATGTCATATCTGTCAAGTTGGGGTAAAAAAGTGATTATCTGTAGCCAGGAGACGTCGACCAATCAGAAGGCTCCATTTGATAGAACATGGAACATGTGTTCCGTTCCAACGACCAAAATGGAACATGGGTTCTGTTCCAATGACCAAAATAGAACATGCGTTCTGTTCCGATGACCAAAATGGAACATGCATTCTGTTCTAATGACCGCATGTGATCAAAAGGACATGCACAAGTTATGCTTAGTATGCACCAAATTAAAAAAAAAGTCACAAGTCAAAAACTTGAGTGTCAACCATATAATCAAACAATCACGGCCTTATACATGTACGATAGTACGTAGACTACTCACAGTTCGCTGGGGCAGTGCTGAGGTTTGGGCAGCCGGTAGCCGTTCTTCACCTGCACCATGGTGTCCTTGTTGCTTAACCTTCCGTACGGCGGAGCTCCTGCCGTGATGATCTCCCACAGGACCACCCCAAAACTCCACTGACAAACAAAAATGAACCAATTGTGACATATCTCAAGAAAAAAAAGGAAAATCCATTTGCATGTTTTTTTCTATGTATTCAAGAAGTTCCAGACTATGGATTGTCACAATTAGGGGAACATGATTGATAGCTTTCCATCCTTAACGTTAGATGTTTCATGATTTATGATAGTATGGCAGGTAGCTGATCAAGAACACTGGTACAGAATGCTTAGCGTCTCAAATTTTAGGTCTATGAAAAACGGAAGTATTCTTTTTTTGGTCTCTCTCTCTCTCTCTCTGTCTCTCTCTCTGTCTCTCCCTCTCTCTCTGTGT